GCGACGAGAGGCCAAGAGGCAACCCTACAAACACCAACTCCGAAGGCCTAATCGGCGTCACCCTTGGCCCGCCGCGAGGCGCGCAACGGCAGTGACCGGAGGCCGCATTGGGAACGACGCCGAGAGAGGACATGTGGCGGAAGGCGCGGAACCGTAATCGAGTGCGGTGGTTTGGAGCAATCGTCGGCGACGGAGATTGGAGAGCTAGGTAGAGAGGGCATTGAGTGGGTGTTGGTTTGAGGCGCGTAATTGTTTCAAAACGGCGGTCGTCAATAGAGGGAATATGGCCCTCTCGGTCCTTATCCTTGGAAACATGAGTTTTGAGCTCAAATGGAACTTTTTCCTCAGGAATTGTGACCTGTTTTTTTCTTCTTCTTCTTTGGATCTCCATCGCAAGCGCAAGACTGGAAATGGGTCCAAGGATTAACCTTTGACAGGGTTTGAGTTAAAACCTAAATGGCGGTTTTTCTTGGGTTCGTTCGTTTCAAAGAGATGCCAATTTTCTATTTACAGTTGCAGGTTTAGTTTAAAACCCTCCACCACCACAAACTTTCTCCCTCCACCTTCCCAATTTTCTTTAATTCTAATTATATCCTCAAATTAAATTTTTTTACTTTTACTATTTTAATATTTTAATTTATTTAAATCTACTTTTCCTATTTACTCCCTGCACTTACTATTCCATCTTCCATTTCCGTTTAACAATCTCTCTTCCGTCTGCAACCTCTCTCTCTTCCGTCTGCAACCTCTCCGTTCAGTCTTCTTTCCTTTCCTCCCTTCTTTCTTTTAATTTTCCTTCGCGACCGTTTGTGTGGAGCAGCAGTGGTGCGGACGAGTGCCTTTCATCTGGCGTAGTGTGAGGAGCGTCGACTCGCGGCGTCCAAACAGTTTGGTTCTCCGTTCACATCACCTTCTCGTGCTTTCTGTTTCTCTGCTTGACTGGTTATTGGCGCTTCTGAACATGTCCACGAAGGCCAAACGGATGTGGGACATCCTTTTCCTTCGACGGATCCCGACTTCCGTCGACGATGTGGGATAATCCATTTGCAGGCCAATCGGATATCCCACATCCGTTTTGGCTCACGATAGAGGCGATAGGTTTCTCTAGATTATCACAGAGCTGGTTCCTCATTCTTCTTCGGTTGCAAATCTCCACAATCTTTAGAAACCCTATCGCCTCTTATTCCAGTAGCTCCTAAAAGCCCCCACGCTATTCCTCAACTCACTTCACGATTTAGCCTCGCTCTTCTCCCAGATCTCGTCTCCATTTGTTTTTTGTTATTTTATTTATTCTAGTAATCATTTTTGCCCAAATTCTTCTGTTTTTGATCATATTCAACGTGGTGCCTTATCCACGAATCTGGTTTTGATCATTGTTCAATCTGTTGTCTGTATTCGATTATTGTACTTCTTCAATTAAATCCGGATATTTTGTGTTGTTTTTCCTTTTTCTGGTTTGTTAGTCGAATTGAATGCTGAATTCAATCTTTGTTCTCATCTGTTCTTACTTGGTGTGGGGGGATTATTTAATTTTCAGTGTTCTGTTGAATTAATGAAATGTGAAGAAGTTCAAGTTGTTCAAAATACATTAGGGTTAGGCATACCTTTGGTCCCAAGCATAGTGGCAAGCATTTGTGATGTCAATTCTGTCTGTTCTTTGGCACGTATAAATGATTTTGCTCGAATAATTGACGAATATTTATAATTATAATACCACTTTACCCCAGTCACTTCTCCTGCACATCCATAACCTCATATTTGCATTTTTTTGAATGATCAATTCATTCATTTACGAAAATAACACGGGGGCAGTGGTGCTTGGTCTAACAAGGCAGGAACAGTTTTGGCACCTGCTACAATTTATTAGTATAGCAATGGTAACTTGGTCAGAGACTTTGGATGGTAGGAGCAATTAGCAAGGATATGTTTGTTACTCCTGGAAGTTTGGAAAGCTGTTTCACTGTATATGTATATGCTGTTTCTATTAAACATCTTAGATATTATCTGAATGAAACCTGAAAATTGTCCCGCCTGGAGTTTTGCTATCTAGCTTTTGTATCTTCTTGTTCACCTGAAAATCCCACTTCCCCACTTTCTTTGATATTCCCTAGTTTTTGGTAGTATGGTGCTTCAGTTATATATTTATCGCGTTGTTCCTTTTTTATCTTTTGTTTCCTCTCCTGCTTCGTTCGATGCCTAAGTTGGAACTAGGTAATCTTCAGTACTTCTCTCTATCTGGTTGTTTTGATGGTGAAAAAGCGGGTAGAGCATCCTTCAAGTCCCTGTTTTTGTTTCAATTCATTTCATGCTATGTTTTCTTCCTATTTTAGATAGTTGGGAAAAAATGAGATAATCCTTGGCTTTGGTATGCAGGATGTCGGAAGCACCATTTAGACCACGTGAAAAGCTTTTTGAGAAGCAAAAATATTTCCAGAATATTCCCAAGCATACCTACTTGAAGGGACCCATGGATAAGGTTACATCTGTGGCCATACCTCTGGCTTTGGCTGCATCATCACTTTATCTGATTGTAAGTTTAATTGTAATATGGTCTTTTTACTTGTCTCTGTTGACTTCGTTATCAGTATATCTCCAATTCTCCATTTTCTTGGAATCATGTTATATCGACACTGTGTTATGCATTTTGTTCCAGGGACGAGGGATCTATAATATGTCGCATGGAATTGGAAAGAAAGAATGACCTGGGAATTTCGAATTGAGGAGGTGGCTATTTGCGACACAAAACAACCATAGCCTCCTTAATATGGACCACTGGTTACCCTTGCATTTATGTTTGTTCTCTTAATAAAATTTCTTAGTTGCAGATTTTGACTGCCATTGGGGTTTATAACTTTGATAACAAAGTGTCAGTTGTAGTTTTTATAAAATCAAATTGGGTGGAATTGGCTCAGACTGCTGCATTAGATTCTGGTTTATGCTTTGCCCCTTCTTTTGCATGCGTTAGACAAGCTCAACGGCTTTCCTCATCGGTCGTTATGCATTTCACTTTTTTCTTTATGGTGTGTCGTCCAGTGGAATTACTTGGTGAGTAGTTGCCCTTAAGCTATAGGTGGTGCAGGAACCTGTAAATGGGTCTTAAGGTGGAAACCACGTGCGGGATTGGAACTCCATAGAATTTGTATTTATAATGCATATTTGGTTTTATATTGGAGAGGGTCTCCCCCCCCCCCCTTTACAAAAAAAAAACCCCCCCCCCCCCCCCCCAAACCATGTTTGGGTAAAACGAACATGTCGTAGTTTTTTCCCGTTTACAAACCAAAACAAAACAAAAAAAAACATGATTAGAAAGTCTAACGAAATAAAACCTTTTATCATTGAATCTTGAATTCAAATAACTTCCAGATTCTGAGTTTTGTATGATGTGGATTTGGGTGCGAGTGTTCTCTGCCTAAATCGGAAGCACAAAACACTAAAGGCAATTTTTCTCGGTCCATGTATGTTTATTATGAATTGGTAATGCTCTGTGGGTTTTTTATAACTGTGCTCATATGCAGCTTATATTAATATCTTGTTTTATGGATGAAAAAAAATATATTTGAGATGTTATTGATGTTGTTGAGAGAATTTCAATGAGAAATTATGTAATGTGGTAAAGATAGGGTGTGCATTGACATTGGGGGATTCAGCACGGATGTATCCTTAACTCTAATGACTATTCAGACTCAAATAAAGTATAATAAGTTATGTGGTGAAAGTCGTATAAGTCTTAGTCTATAGGCACTGGTTAAGTTCTAGACGCGAATGGGATTAACCTTGTGAGTAGTAAGGTGATAATCTCTTTGTTCATGACTTAGCAAAACATAAATACTATTGCAAGTACACACATACAGTGAAACTCGTGTCAGAGACATGTATCCGAATAATTGAGTTTAGTATCAATTGTTATTTAAGTGTGTGAGTCTGTGGGATGTTTGACATGTGATATGGATAAATTGGTACATTATAAATGTTTAGATCAAGCATTTTGGTATATTAGCTTACCATTTTTTTGTTTGTTTGTTTGTTTGTTCCCCTTGTTTGTGATGATCACCTTAATGATGTGAACAGATGAAAATGTTCCAATTGATTTGATGTAGAGTGAGGGAGATGTAGAAGTATAAGATAATATGCTTAGTTTTTTGTGTTTATTAGATGTTTTGTAAAAATATATTACGCTTTTGGTTTCAATGTAATGCAATTCTTAGTAATATAAGATCTTTGCATATATTTATAAAAGTGTTATAGTTATATATGAGATAATTGTAATAACCTTATGCAGATATTTTTCTTGAGTTATCCGTCGTTTTAACCACTTATGTGTGATGTCTCTTTTACCAATGACATATTATTAAAATGGAATGTTACAATTACCATGATATAAAATATAAATTAAGAAAAAAATTCAATGTAATTTCATTCTATATGCTTCATTATCATTTTTTAAAATTAAAATAATTATTTATAATTATAATTACCTACAATAAAATTTAAAAATTTTTACAATAAAAATTATTTATAATGCATGGTATACAATAATAATAATAATTTTATCATTCTTTTTTATGATAAAAGAAACACACACGTGTGTATAGTATATGCGTTTTCATTAATATTGATAATTTTTTTAAGAAAAATATACAAAATTAATAATAAATTTTAATCTCATTTTTAATTGTTATAAACCACTAACAAAATTTTAATAATCAAATTTTTTAAAAAATAGCTATTAAATGAAATGAATAACTCTTCTCTATCTGCTTCCAAATAGTTTTGATTTTTTTTCTCACACTTTATATAAAAAAATTCAGTCTTCCTTACCTTCACGCACCCTTTGTTTCAAAGAAACTAAACCAAAAGAGATAACTAAAAAAAATAGTTTTCTAAATTTTTCAGAGAAAAATAAAAAAGGAAAAAATAAACAAAGTGGGGAATCTACCTAAAAATGAATAAATATTGAGATTTGCTTTGTCATTTGGCTTATATTGAATAGGAAAACAAAAGATAAGACAACAAGTGATGAACCCCACTTAAAAGTTAATTTAAATATTTTATTTCTTAGACCTCCACCAATGCAGTCCATTTGGTATGAACCATAAACCACACTTCTTAGAGTGTTTATTGCACAAATATTTTCCGACTTTGGCTGGATATGGATTTTAATTTTTTATATGATTTTTGATGTATGGTCTTTGTAATTTATGATTTAAAGAGTTCTATTTAGGATTTTGTTAACCATTGGTATGTATATTACTAAGTTTAATTTTATTTAAATTTTACTTCTTTTATAAAAAATATTAGATACCAAGACAAATTTATATTTAATACAGGGCAACTTCCCTAACATTTAAATAATAATAAAAAATTAAAACATTTTATATATAACATTCCTGTAATCGTGGCCAAACAAAGAAAGGATGACCACGTCTTTTCACTCCCCCAAAGAAGACTCATACCCCAATAAACTCTTTCAATGCCCAAAAAACAAATGACACACCTATTTACAAATAGTATTAGGATTTACAAGGTACAACTAGTAGACTTATCCTCCACTCTCATACTCATCAATCACATACTCCAATACATCCCAACACTTATTCATGCTCCAATTCACAGTCACAAGTTAAAATTGACCATAAAATGTCATTATTGAGTACCAACATGTTCCATTGCTTTTTTTTAGGCTTTGAATCATTTCATCACAATTCATCACCATTTTTTTCACAAAATACATTGTGATAATCGATTATCACTTTTGATAATCGATTATCTCAATGAAAATCACCCAGAAACATCGCGCAAGAAGGGATAATCGATTATCATAAGTGATAATCGATTATTCCTGCAACCAGACTCAGTATCAACATGCAATAATCAATTATCATTAGTGATGATCGATTATCTGCGAAAACTAAATACATCCTGAACATAATTAAAGTCTGCAAACATACATGCAACAACCCTAAATCACGAGGGAACTCCCCCAAAACATCATTCATGCATTCAAGCATCACATACCCTTGTAAACATACTCAAACACATACATTACAACACTTGAATCATCCACATTCAATCGTATACCTATTTAACCCAAACAACACAATTATATGCATATGATTTTACCACAACCCCTTAACAACATACATTTGCATGGAAAACCCCAAGCCTCGTAACTTTATTCTCCTTTAGCATCAAACCCTTCGTTGGGATAACCCAACAACCATACATACATTCATATGAAAAACCCAAGCAAAATATTATATAAACCCTATGCTTATGCATACATAAATCCTTGTCCAACAAGGACAACATACAACCATAGTCATAATCATATAAACATATATCAACAAGGATTACTAATCAAAATAACTAAGAACACATATAACATACAATACGAGATAGTGAGTACAAGAGAAAGAAAATTAAGAAACACAGGTAAGCCTTCCCCATACCTGTTCAATCATAGACTTGTCTACCTTTAACACCATCATCTCAAGGTTTTCTGCAATTCTTCCTTCTCTCCCCAAATTCTCTCTCTCTCTCTCCCTCTCTCTTTCTCTCCATCACTCTCCCTCTTCTCTCTTTTTTCGTTCTAGATATGTTAGAATATGCAACCTAATTTTCCCTTTCTATTTTTTTATCTTCTTATTCTATCTTTATCTTTTTAATTAAAATAATATCAACAATCACTAAATCTTTTAATTTTAGATTTATCTTCCTTTCCTTTCATCTCTACACCTCCATAACTTAATTTCTACACATTTAATGAGAGTAAAACTACTCTTTTGCACTTGGGCCCAATATTATAATTAAACCAAAAGGTTACCTTAACTCTATTCTTCTAGAATTTGTGCCATACACATATTTGTTAACACACACCACACAATCACATTCAAATCACAATATACCAATCATATGTCCACTTAATCAATAATAACATTAAATAAAAACATAATAATTATAATTTTGAAAAATTAATCATCAACACAATTATCAAAACTCAATGTCCAAGTTTCATAACCATTATTCCCTTAATTTATCACAATTTTCTAGGGTCTTACACATAACAATGCCATTTAATCCACTTAACATTCACCAACAACTATAAATCATCCATATAATGAAACAGGCAAACCAAAACACATGTCAACAGATCCCCTGATTGTCGCTCAAGTGCTTAGGACTAGCGCTTCAACGCCCCCCCCTAACTCATGTTTCTTGCACCCAAGCCCTTTAAAGGGGCGCCAGGGCACTAGAAGAAAACCATATTATTTTTTTAGATTTACGGTGCACACGTTCTCCTCCACTTTGAAAGATTCTAAGACCTTTAACCCCGAACAAGCTTACAATCTGAACCTGAACTCAAAATGACTACTTCAAGTATCCAAGTACTACCGTAAACAGTACCAAACCAAGTCGACCTAAAATAGACGTCCAAAGTTTGCAAGGCAATTGAGCTTGAACAAGTCCTAGATGGACTGATAAACAGACTTCCAAACCCATCACAGTTAGCCCAAAACATCTAATTCCAAATTCACCTGTCAAAACCCCTACATCTAGTCAAAACCAAGTCCAACTTCACCTATGAACCATCAAACATTATTATATCAGTTTCATACCATTCTCACAACTCCAAAAACAATTGTAAATCACTCCATCGACAAAACTTAAACATTCAGTTTTATACCATATTCATTTTCCATTGTCTTTTTATTACTATTAGAACCTCCAAAATACCTTTTAAATGCCACTTTGACTTCACCATAGTAACTATCATTCACCTTCCTTCAATTCACATACTAGCTAATTCTCTCATAAACAATTTATTAAGGACCACATAAATTGTTCTAAACTACCAATTCTAACTTTAGTCAATAATTTAGAATTCACCTTTCAAATCTCTAATTTTTTGAT